CTATAGCGAAAACCTCTCAAAAAAAAAAAAAAAAGTAAAAAAAAAACTCTCCTTCAAACCATACTATGATAATATGATAATAAGTTTTACTAGAGATTTACACACAGGAGAACTGAAAGGCTCAGAAAGAAATATAGAAATAGAGAATATAGCTATAGTCCTGGTGTGATAAAATTCCAAGAAGACACAGAACTGTGTAGCTGGCTCAGCCTTTGCTGGCACCGCACTGGCACAACACTCTGCAGGGGAAGCTCAGGGTCCAGTTCCTGGGTTAGCTTGTATATACCAGGCTCCTGGCCTGGGTGGCTGGAAAGACTAGCGTGAGACCCCACTGAGTGTGCCTTTCTTTCTCTCTCATAAATGAAAGAAAGAAACGTAATAAAACAAACAACAAATAGACAAAAGCATGTCTTAGACATATTTTATCTTTTTATATTTTAATTTTAATGTTTTTTTTTTTTGCCATAGGGCATATGTGCTAGCCAGAGAGACAGAGGCAGAAAGATGGAAAGCAAATAATCTGCCCCCCAGGGAGGATGTCCACACAATTCCTTCTCCATTCTCTTCTCAGGATTTTGGACACACACCCACACACACTGGGCATGAGTTTTAAGCCGCTGGGTCTGGGACTTGAACCATTGGTTAACCATGTGAGAGTCCAGCACCTTAATCGTTATGTCACCTGCTTGCCCCATGGTCTAACATATTTTAAATAAAGGGAAACCATAATACCAAACTGGGAGAAAATGTTTTAACAGAATCAGAGGAGCAGAACCAGCAGATGGCATAATGGTTACGTCACTGGATTCCCACATAGCTGACTGACGTTCAAGTCCTGGACCTGGCAGCTTAAAACTCACACCGGGCGTGTGTGTGTGTGTGTGTGTGTGTGTGTGCCAAATCCTAGAGGAGAATGGAAGGTAAAGGAATCCAGCGTGGCTATTCTCTCTTGCTTTCTGTCTCCCTCTGTCTCTCTGGCAGGTTCACGCACTCTATGGCAAAAATCTCTCTTTTTATAAAAAAAAAAAGGGGGGGGAGCAACATCTGTACTATATAAAAATCTGCAAGCTATGAGGAAAAATCAAACACATCCAGTAGAAAAATGAACAAAGGCTAAGAACAGACAATTCAGAGATGAAGAAATGTAAATAATCAATATTTGAAAAAATGCCCAACTAAGTATCAGGAAATACTTGTTTTAAAGCATAATATATCATTTTATTACCTCATCAAATTCGACTGAATTTTTAAAAAATAGATAATATTACTAACGAGTAAATGTTGGAAAATGAGTGCGTTCTCTTACTGTGGCTGGGAGTATTAAAATGGTACAGACTACAACTGGTTGCAGATGTACTGTCGTTGCCCAAGCCTGGAAGGGAGGAGGTAATAAGTAGGCTGAACATAGACGGTTTTTAAGGCAGTGAAGCTGTTCTGTGTGAAACTGTAATGACAGATTCCTGCTAACCTCATAAACTGTACAACACCAAGAGTGAACCCTAATGTTAACTGTGGTGTGTGGGTGATGCTAATACATCGATGTTGGTTCATCAGCTCTCACAAATATACCTCCGTGATGGGGGACATTGATATGGATGTTTGCTGTGGATGTGTGGGGCTTGGGGCACATGGGAAATCTCTGTACCTTCTTCTCAATTTTGCTATCAGCTGTTCTAAATAATAAAGTCCATTGAGTCAGCAGGTGGCATGGTGGTTAAGGCACTGGTTCAACAAGGCTGATTCCATGGTTCAAGTTCTGAATTCGCAACTTGAGAAACACACCAGATGTGTATGTGCATGCCCAAAATCCCTAGAGGAGAATGGAGGAGAAGGGGTTGCAGCATGGCCATCCTCTCACCCCCAGTGATGATTTCTCACTTTCTCCTCTCTCTCTCTCCAGCAAGCTCATGTGCTCTATGGAAAAAAAAAAAAAGTCTATTAACATAAATATGATAAATAAACTGCAATAAATGGTGAGCTGTCTTTTAGAGAAATTGGACAGTATCTCAATTTTTTTTTTGAGAGATTTTCATTGTAGGGCACGTGCGCTCGCCAGACAGACAGAGAGAGAGAGACATAGAGACAGAAAGCGAGAAATCACCCCCCAGGGGGGATGGTCACGCCGCAATCCCTTCTCCTCCATTCTCCTCTTGGGATCTTGGGCACGCACGCACATGCGCCCGGCGTGAGTTTTAAGCCACCGGGTCCAGGACACGAACCGCGGTTGACTATATGGGAGTCCAGCAACATAGCCATTAACTGCTGGTTCCCCAGTATCTCAAATTTTAAATTGTGCATACTTAAAAAATTTTTTCCCTATATTCATGATGGAGCACATACATGTGAATGTCAGAGTGAGAGAAAGAGAGACAGATAAGAGCCCTCCACAGGGTCTGGTCAGCATAGTCTCCTTCCTCTAGTCCTAATTCCCATGAAATCATGGGTACTTTCCCATGTGCCTGGTATTTTTTAGGCTGACTGAGCTGGGAACTTGAACTGCCATTGCCGTGTGTGAGATCTGGCTTCTCGTGAGTGGCACATTACCACTGTGCCATGGAGCCAGCACTTTGTGTACTTTTTAACTTAACAGTTACACACTAGGGGCCATCAGATGGCGTGCTGGTTGGAACACTGGACTCCTCATGACTAACTGGGGTTTGAGTCCTGGACCTGGTAGTTTAAAAATCACACTGGGCGCATGATTGTGTGTGCCCAAAATCCCAAAAGGAGAAT